TTGAATAAGGATTTCTTTTAATTGTTTATTTAGTGTGAGATTAGCAATACTAGTGAAATTTGATCAGCAAAATTTAATCCTAATTTTAAAATCAAATGCCCAATGGCAAAGCACCAGAGATGCTCTATGGTAATGATAATATTAGCTGTTTCCTTATAAGGAAACATTTGGCATTCGTTGACTGACTGAGCAGCCAGTACTACTTTTGGTTGAAATTTCTAAAAGCTGCAAAGAGTTTTTCAGCAAAATAATTTTCTCAAGTCTAGTAACTGTTATTGCTCTTTCCAGTACTGATGAGGGGGGGGGGCTTATTTCTTAAAGTTTTGTTTGAAGGAGTATGTAACATCAACATTTGGATTATGTTCTTGTTTTCTCTTCAAATTACATTTGCTATCCATTTTAGTTGTTACTGCTGTTGAAAGTCTTCAAGTGATGTGCTTTCTGTTATTTAGTACAGTTTGTTGTTTGTGATTTTCTTGCAATATTTCACAAGGTTCAATGAAGAATGCCATCCTGGGTAAGATGATAAACTACATCTGCATCCTGGGTAAGACAATAAACTACATCCAACAGCGAGGCCTCTAATCAGGAGGAACCACCCAAGTCCATCCTGACCTGAGGTGGTAGCACCTGTTAGGATCCCAGCTATGGGCAAATAGTTAACCCCCAAACTGGGGTCAAAACACTATGAAAGATAGGTTTTAATTCCAGAAATATTTTGTAAAAAAGTTATTACCAACAATAAGTTTTAAGAAGAAAAAAATTATTACCAGCAATACATTTTTGAAAAAAAAATATTACCAGAAATAGATTTTTGAAGGAAAAAAATTTTACCAGCAATATATTTGATAAAAAAATAAAAAATTACCAGCAAATGTTGTCGGCATTAAATAACCCATTGAGGTTGATATGCCGTAAAATAAACCAACCAATCAATGAAGAATGGTCCTTGCTAAGACATACTGGCTTCATTCACTTAAAAGCCCTTTTTCAACATTGATCTGAAAAAGTGGTTTCATTCAGCTGACAGTTTAGATATCTTTGAATATGTTTCTTGCCTTGCATGACATCCATGTGAAAATCTTGATCTAATAGGTCTAAGAAACATCTTTTTGAACTGTGAGGAAAATTTGATTTATATGGGAAAGCTCTTAGGATAATCCAGAACATAGCCCAAAAGTAAAATGCTTGAATATGGATAAGAAATGAATTGAAAAGTAGAAACAATACAAAAGTAGAAAGGGTTCTAATATAAGACAAAATGTCTACTCACTGAATTTATTCAACCTTTTCAGTGAGGCAATCATGAATGAATTTAGTATTGGCGGTCACAATCTTAACAACGTAAGATAAGCACACTATTTACATTATTCGGACTATTTTCCTCATCTTTGTTGCCATGTTTATCACAACATTTCAGCCGTTGTATGCTCCGGCCTTCTTCAGGTGGTTGGAATGTCAAACTGAACCCTTTATTTCACTCACAGGAGTAGACTGTTCTAGTTCCACGTACCATGTCTAATGGATGTCAAGGACACATGGCACTGTGGATAAAAGCGTTAGTTAGATCCAGTGACAGGACCCAAAGAGTGTGAGTTCAATACCTGATTAAGGCGGTGGAAAACTTTGAGAGGGGAATTAACAGGAGATAATTGACATCCATTAGATATGGCACGTGGAACTAGAACAGTCTACCCAAGTGAGCAAAATAAAGGGTTCAGTTCAACATTCCAACCACCTGAAGAAGGCCAGAGCATACATCTGCAGGTCAGATTGAAGGCAAGAGAGGAAAACAACACATATCAAATTTTCCAAACCCTCTTTCCTCATTACATGCCCTAGAAATTTCAACTATCTTTTTATAATTTTAAGCATAAGTGTCCTTTTTGTTACCATTATATGTTATATAATATTAATCCTTCAATATTACAGCAAATGCTAGACAATTCACTCAGACATGAAGAAGAGACTTGAAGCAGCAGAAATATGGTTTTACATAAGGATGTTGAGAATACCATGTGCCAAATGTGTGCAATGACTAGGTTTTAGAGAAAATGGCAACAAAAAGGAAACTTATACTTAACATCAGGAAGAGGCAGTTGAAATTTCTGGAGCATGTAATTAAGAAGGAAGACTTGGAAAATTTGATACTCACAGGAAAGATTGAGAGACATAGGAAAGCACTGTATAACATACTTAATGAGCTTGAGTAAATAGATGGCATATCAGGGTTTTGGAGAAATGAAAAAACAATAAAATTTATTAAGACCTACAAGGGACAGAAAAATGTGGAGGGCCATCATCGCTTATGTCTTGAATGGCTACAGCACATAAAAAAAAGAAGCTCAAGAAGGCCATTATTCTCTTAGTGAAACCTTATTTTTAAACCATTCTTAGTCTAATTTTATCTATATTTTGAGTTGTCATATTGTTGCAAGATAAATCAACTACCAAGTTTAAATATGATAGCAAAGTATAAAAGATATTTTTCATATGAATGGACTGATATATTAGCAAATCCATTTTCCTCTCTGTCCTTGTGAATTTCTGAGTATTTGATATGTTAAAGTAATCTCCTAAAAAATTATGTCCAACACCATACTTCACTTTTTGAAGGGTATTTTTACCACTATACCTTTTCTCTCCAAATAAATGCTGATACTTATATCCTCAAAATTCAGTTTTTGTTTCATCTTACCAAATAAATGTATTTCAGTAATCAGTCAATAGCCCAAAAGCTTTTTAATGAATGTTTAACAAGCCTTTTTATATGCTTTCTTCAATGGTGTTTTTTTAATGTGTATGTGTTTTAAGAAAACATATAATGTTTTAAGAATAATAATTTTAATGTTTTAAGATAACAATGTTTTAAAAAAACATTTTTGTTTCCTCTTATCAAGTAACTGTATTTAAGTAATCAGTCAATAGCACAAAAGCTTTTTAATGAATGCTTAACAAGCCTTTTTATATGTTTTATTCAATGGTGTTTTTTTTTCTTTAGGGCCAAACATCTATGAATTCTTAGTTGGATCAATACTTTAAAAATTTTTGAGACATAAACATCTTTTCAAATGTTCTTCAAATCAATTTGGACATCTTTTGAGATTGGTTTCAAATTGATTGAATATTATATATGATATATACTGATATTAGTTTGCAAGTATATTGTTACAGTGCCAATATCTTTACATTTATGATTAATAAATAGCATAAGGAAATAAGGGAAAATTTTCTATAGCATTCTCCAAATTGATAAGCCTCAACTGGTTTCTTTTCCAGTTTGTCAGAATGCTCTTTAGTCTTTATCACAAGTTTATCACGTGATGAAATTATGTTTAAATTTTAAAATAAATTGCTGTTGGCTTTTTTCTGTGGTGTTGAGCCACAATCTGCATCATGTTAAATAGTGTTTTCACACAATCTGTCCATGAAATTATTCTCCTTTGAATATTCTATAAATTCTTCAGACATTTATATCTGTCCACACATGCTTCAAATGTGTCTGGAAATGCTTCACATTTGTTTCTGTTATAGAGTAGTTTCACAGTGGAGGCTTGTATTTCACTAAGTCGGTTCTAAAAAGGTTCGATGTACAAAACGTTAGGAACTTGATGTAATAGTTAATGACACAGCAATCTAGTTGTGGTGGCTGATACTTTAATATCCAACTAACGGTCATCTGACATCGACTGACTGTCCAACTCACTGAGCGACTGGCGACTGCTACTACTCCTACTTATTATAGGTGGGAGAGTCTATTAACTATAGAATAGGTGTGTTCCAGTATAACAGTTTCCAATCAAACTGCAACTTCCCTTTTGATTTAAGCCACCTTTCATGTTGAAATCTTCTATAGATGACCTGATCATGCAAGTGTTATTATGGTACCAATTACTTCCCATTTTTGAAGGACAGAAAAAAACAATAGAACAAGATATGTCAAACCTCTTCAAAACTTGTTTTAATAGCCTTCCCTGAATTAATAAGCCTCAAACAATTTTTCTTCAGGTTTTGGTCTGTTTTGTCATGATTTTAAAATAAATTGATACTTAATTTAAAAATATATTTAGATACAACTTCTCAAGTGATGTTGAGCAATCCAAAGCATAAGAGTCACTCAAGATAGTTATTGAATGAGGTTGTATGACACTAGAATTGGAGAGATTAAGATTTTAGTAATTGGGAAAGCATCCTCTTGGAAGTCTGTTCTACAAACTAGTGGTTCTCAGGTAGAAGCTGTCTGAGTGAATCATTTCACCCCAAGCAAGGTGGGAATACCACTAGTGCACACAACTGCAAATGATCTAATCTGAGGAAAAAATAGAAATCAATTACACCCTGTCACTCCTGTGGGTCTAAAACTGACCATATGGTGAAAGAAAGGAAACTAAAGAGGTTGTTTCAATTAATTTGCACAAGGATGTATTTGAAGACCTATATGGATTAAAAAATATAAACAAAAGAAAAAAAAAGGACTGATTTAAATGTTGAATGGACCAGCAAGTTTTGAAATGTCATTAAGTCAACTCATCTAACTTAATACAAAATATTGGTAGGGAATCCTTTCCTGAATTTTTCAGCACCCTGTCATTTCCATGTTTTGTGATGTTAGATGCTCACTCATTGTAACTTCATTAGGTCAATGAATGCTCATTACCACTTCCGAAATGCTTGTTCTAGACGAGACCTTGTAACGCAGGTACTGGTAGTAGTAACGCCTTCAGATAATACTCGCACTAATAATAATATTCCAATAGTAATTACTGACTAGTAATTTGTATAATGATCAGTATAGAGAAATAGTATAGTGGATAGTATAGGGAATAGCGATCACTTAGATGTCACACTAATTCCCATTTATATGTTTCTTTTACGATCACATGATCTACTTATTTAATAATGGAACCGTCAGTGTTTGCTCACTGATGATCTGTGTTCAAACAACACTTTATTCCTATACAACACCATGTTATCAAAAGATAGATACTGTTTACTGCTTATGGTCACATCACATTAAAATACTGGTTCCCGTATGATTACAGAAGTTAAGCAACATTTAACCTGGTTAGTACCTAGATGGGTGATCTCTTGAGAATACCAAGTGCTGTAAGCTTGTATGTGTGGGTGCTGTAATGATAATAGCTAATAATTGTTAACCAGAAAGCTAAGTTTCAGTTCTAGTCAGGTTTATTATATTCATTTATGCACAAGTGTCCTTGGGAAAGATTTAAATCCACCTTTTCTCCCACCAAATATGGGCTAATTAGTAAGACTTTTATCACTAAATCATTATTAACACCCCCCACAAAAAATTGTTAAAATTTAAAATATTTTCTGGCTTTAAATAACCTGCAAAGGGTTGATAAGCTGTAAAAAAAACAAATCAATCAAATCAAAGATACTGCTTACAGATAAGGTTGGAGATTGATTGCATAAAAAACATTGATTTTTAAGCAGTTTATGTTTATTCAGAATATGGATTTAGAATATAATGAAAGGTATAATATGAAAATTCTACAAACATATAAGAGCAGAAAGATATATATATATATATATATATTACCTTTTAAATAACATAAATTCCTCAAGTTAAAGGAAATGCTGTTTTGGACAAAATAGTGATTGCTTATTACAAAATATATTAAATAAATTGCTTATTGCAAAATGTATTAAATAAATTTCTTAGAATATTTCATATAAAAGAACATATTTTCCTCTGATTAAATGGAAAATTTCCCTTCTGCAAATATTTCTAATCCTAATCAAATTCAGAATGATTAAGCAGAAAAAAAGAAGTCAAAATTATTTTCATATACATACATATACATATATATAATGTGTGTGTATGTAGGATGTGCTCGTGATGTGGTAATTATAGATATGGAATGTGGGATCCATGAAATTCCATCTGAATTCAAGTTTTCACAAATGCCTTCCTCTTCTCCTACCTGTACTGCATTCTCTACCCTTAAACCAGTCTAGAAAAAGGATAACTCAAAATTCTCAACAGGTTCAGTGTTAAGCTAGCAACTCTAGTCTACTTAATCTACTTGCTAGGGAAAACTACAACAGCACCACTTTTTTCCCAGAGAATTCACAGGTCCAAGAGGAAGAAATATATGAGACAGCAAGTAATTAAACAAACAAGTTTAGTTAAATTTAACCAACAAATCTGTTTAATATGTATTTTCCAATTTTGCATGCCTTGGTTATTATCTAGACATTAATGTTTGCAGTATCAAATCATAGGAGAGTTTTTATTAACTTCATCCTAACACAGGGGTGGGCAAACTTTTTGAGAATGCATGCCAAAACCAACCAAATCTTGGACACAAAATATTTCCATGTGCCAACAATTATTTTTTGAGAACATGTTATTTGATATCTTCTAAGTATGTAAAAAAATTTTTTTAAAATGATAAAAAAATCACCCCAGAGCAATAAAGAATGTAAGAAATTACATAAATCATATAAAATTGACAATGAAAAAAATTATGACAGGTTTTTATGAGAAAAATTTTTGTGATATTTTTTATTTATTAGCCTGTAATTATAAATGTGACTGCTACACATACTCACACAATTTAAAGATACGATTAACTATTATTAGCATCAACACAAAAAGTTAACACTTATTTTTTTCAAATTAATCAATCATAATTTTTTCGCCAGTTACACATTTTTATGATTAAAAGTAAAAGGTTATTAAAAATAATATTTTACTGATTTTAAATCCCTTGTAAATGATGTATAAAAAAAAGTAAAATATATTTATTTACTTTCGAAACTAAATTTAAACAGCTCTGAACCTTTGCCACTTTCAAAAGAAAACGTCAGATAAAACTAGAGACAGAAGACTTCTGCTGACAGAGATTTTATATTGGATTTATATTTAGTAACCTTGAGAGATATGCATGCAATACTAATTTCATTTGTCCGGCTCCTGTTACAAGACTTAATAATGTTCATCACTGAGAACAAATATTCCTTAACATATGTAGTTAAAAACATGGATGGTAATTCTGTTGCAGGGTTTTTTTAAACAGACAACATTTTCTGAAATGGTTTTCTAAGTCCTTAATACTTTGTTTTCTGCATTTTTCTCTGATACTTCTATCCCAAATCACTTCTTTTCAATATTTTCAAAGTCAACTTTAAGGTCAACAAATTTCTACTTCAAAATTGAGCTACTCTGAAATTCAATCAACTCCATTTCAAAATCATTCATGTCTATCCATGAAAATATTTGCAAGTTTAGTTCATCCAGTTTGATACTGTCTGGAAACTTAATGAATTTTGCCGTCTCATGCTGTATTCTGAATTTACCAAACCTTGTAAAGAACTGCTCAACAGTTGATTCAACGATGTTTACAAACAGCTTTTGAAGACATTGGCAGTCTGTTCTGCCATCTTTTGAGAGATCATTGATGTACCTCTTTAGGTTTTAGAAGTATCTAAATCTCTCATTATATACATCCTTCTTAAAATCTTGTTTCATTTGAAAAGTGTTTATGTAACCAAACATAACGTCACATCTTAACAGAGCTCTGTAATTTAATATTCAAGTCATTTAAATGTTCACAAAAATCTGCCAAAGACATCAGTTTACAAACCCACATGATATCAGACAATTCTTGGTAAGATATGTGTTGGTCATTCAAAAAGAGCTTTATCTCATCTAAGCATTCAACAAATCATTTCAGAACTAAACCTCGGTTAAGCCAATAAACATTGTTGTGCATTTTCAGTCCTTTATATATAGATTCTACCTCATTCAATAAAATTTGAAATTGTCTTTTATGTAAAGCCGGAACAGAAATGTAACAACCTTGATAACTGTTTGCATTACTTTCTGAAGTCAGTTTAGGCCAGCTTTTTCACACAAAGCCTCATGTATAATGCAATGAAAACCTATCTGTATATGACCAACCTCTTTTGCAAACAGATTTACAAATCCTGTCTTCTCACAAGTCATGCTGGGGGGTACCATCTGATATGGCAGATACTATTGAAATGTGAACTTATTGAGTAGATAATTCATTCACAACTGCTTTACATATTTCAGCTTTAGTAGTACACTCAGGTAGTCTTACAAGGGCAAATATCTTTTCAAATACTTCATCACCCCAACAAAATTGAGATAATATGCCTTGCCGAGCTAATGACTTAATGTCCGTACTTTCATCATCATAAATAGAAAAAAAAAACTTTCATGGTGACAAATCTTTTGTTAATTGTTCAGCTGCATTCCTTTCCAACTTGAGTATCTTATCCTTAAGTATTTTCCTATGCGTAGACAAATCTTTAATGCGCTGAATAATCTTTTCCTTTTCTGAAAAATTTGTCAAAAAGGAAAGGTGCATATTCTCACCCAGCTTCTTAAATATACTCTCCACCATTATGTGGCTTTTCATGTTGAGCAATAACTTTTGAAAGCTCAAAAATAGCAGCAACTAAGTTGGTACTGGGTCTACCTGAAATAAAGTCCATAAAAGTATCAGCCTGTTTTTTATCTCACTCAGTTCATGAAAAATTCTCTTTGTTCTTCCTCAGTTTTATTGCTTAAGTTCTTATGAACACTTTCAAAATGTCTCTTTACAGAAGAAGTCCTACAAAGGGTTGTTTTAGAACAGAAAATACATAAGGCATAATTGTCTTTCTTAATCCTGCCAATTTTTTCGACCCAGTCTACTTTAAATTCTCTAATATCCTCTTCATTTGAATGACATTGTTTCTTAGCTGATGATTGTGATATTCTGCACATTCTGTAAAAGGCAGAAAATAAGAAATACACGAGATAAAGATATATATGAAAGAGGAGAAAGAATAAAAGTAAATCAAAAAGGGAATCCAATGAATACGTTTGCATGCCAGAAACAAGTTATCAGTGTGCCAAGTTTGGCATGTGTGCCAAGAGTTGCTCACTCCCATTCTAGCATATTCACATATTGTTAGCTTCATCTTACCATATTCACATATTGTTAGCTTCATCTTACCATATTCACATATTGTTAGCTTCATCTTACCATATTCACATATTGTTAGCTTCATCTTACCATATTCACATATTGTTAGCTTCATCTGAGCATATTCATATAGTGTTAGCTAAGAAAATTTTTGTTTTTGATACAAGCAAGATTAAGTTCCTGACTAGGACCAATATTATTGAAAGTATTTGAACAAAAACAATTTTTGGACAGTTTGTTCACAAATTTGATATAGATGTATAAAAAAAAAAAAATTTTTATTGGTATCACCCCAAGCAAGGCAGTACAGCACTCATACACAAGGGGTTACAGAGTGTGGAGGAATTAGGAATAGAAACATTAGTATTGAGGAGAAAAAGAAAAGAGCCATCAGAAAGACAGTAGATAGCAACTAACATTGCATTTAAATTTTTGCAGATTAAAATTGGCTGGAAAGCACAGAGCCAGGAGGGAATTACACAAATTCCAAACTCTTAGCATGGAAATTATGGCTCCATCTAACTAGCATAACTGTAAATTGATAAGATACTACTGCCAGTCTAGTATTGCGCTTAAATTCATGTAGTCTAGGTACCATAGTGAAGAGCTCATCTGAGCAGTTACTATGAAAGTATTTATGAAAAGGCACAGAGAGTGACAACCTTATGGGGGTGGACAAGTGACTGAAGATGAATTGCCAGATCAGGACCACTAATATTGCAAAGAGCTCCAGGTAAATAGCAGGGGCATCGGAGCATATATGGCAGCAATATTCTAAGAATGGATGAATGGCAAATGGTAGACTTAGAGATATGCAAGATAAATTCTGGAAAGAAAAATTGTCTTTCCCAACACAGTAAACTGACTTTCCTAACAGATGATCTAGCAATGAATTCAATGGATTCTTTCCACTTCATGTCAGCTGAGAACGTTAAGAAGGCACAATGAGTCACTTTCTTCGAGGATAGCATCAGCCATGGTGATGGAAAGCAGAGAGGGGCCTCCCAGATGATTAATGGGGAGAAGAGACCTGAAAATTGGAAAAATATGATAAACAGGTAAACTTTTCCAGTTGAATTTAGTAAAATAAGTGATATCTATGATAATATATATTTTTAAGCTGTGCTATATTTACAAGGTAAAAA